TCATTTTTTGCTCATTATGGGTTTAAAATAAAATCCATTCTCTCAATGTTCTGGGACAAGGAGTCTCACCAAATGCCCTCCCAGGCTCAGCCATCCCATGCTGCTGGGACTCTGTATCCATTTCCAAATGTGCCAAACAGTTGGTGTTTTAGGAAGGCTACATTTCTCCTTGCCTAGAGCCTTTCCCCTCGTTTCACTGCTCACTGCAGAGCAGGGCAGTGTGCACACGCAGCTTTGAGAAGCCCATTCATGGCAAGAAGAAGGAGATCCCATCTCTTAAGAGAGGGTCCTTTTGAACTACCCACAGATGTAGCATTTGCCTCTCCAGCAACTGAGATCTCACCTTTTCCATAGGATCTTTACTTTTTCCCTTTAAGTGTAGGAGATGGGAATGGATTTTTTTCCCTGTGACTCTCTGAAGTGCTATTTGGATGGCTGGCAATGTTAACATGTGATTTCTATTATGCTGTGTACTGAGAAATACGAATTTTGCTTTTACCACTTGCTGATCTTTTAGTCCAGAATGAATACCTCAGGTTTTTGGATGTGCTGCAGAAAGTTTTCCCCTCTTATTGTTTGCTAGCTTTTTAAAATGAGATAGGTAAGATTACATAAAGAAACTTTTTTTTTTGGAACTTTAAATAACGGACAAAGGCAACAGTGCAATAAGCCATTTCTCACTAATTTAAATAAAATTATATCCAATATAAATTAAGCTCTTATTCCTCACATTTTGGGGCTTTTTCCCCCAATTTTTTTTGTTCAATTATATATGCTAAAAAAGTACTCTGTGCTCCCAAGCATTTATAATATGTCAACCCCAAAAGGCCATGGATTTCCTGTAACATATTCATGCTCAGTTGAGCAGTTTACTGTAACAAGGCTAAAAAATCTTGCACAGGAAACAAAGACTTGGTATAGAGTAGTGTACCTTGAAATTTCACATCTATTGTGTTTATGCAAGACGTGACTTACCTTCCTAGAAAACTATAATGAAATGTTTGCTGTTGCAGCAGTTGACACTGCTTTAGGAAAATACCCTTTGTTAAATTTGCTTTGGTTATTCTTCTAGAAACCTGTGGACAATAGAATGGGTTTTCAGAACCATATCCTTGAACAATGTCTATCTTATCTGACACACAAGGGATTAAACCTGTGCTCTGGCCAAGCTGATTCTCTCCTCCTACAGTGATGACCGTCAGAAAAGCGACAAAATTCTGTTTGTGCCTCGTGATGTCCGCAAGAAGAGGTTTGCATCTGCCTTGGCAGATGGATGTGAATTGCATTTTGATTCATTTCAAAATCTTGAGCCAGTATTCAGGGTGAAATTTAAGGTCATGGCGTTAGTCAGAGCAGTTCCGGTTAAACAGATCTGCCATTCAGGCTGCCAGTGCCCCCCTTTCAGTGGGAAGGAATAAGGGAAGTTGCTGACGAGGAGTGATGACAGCCACTGCCAGCAGCAGTGATAGTGGGTTCAGTAATCTAATAAACTGGGTTATTATTCCTTTCAGAGTCAAAAGGCTAAATAAAATCAGTGTGGAATACTTTAAACACCCTTTTTAGAGCAATTCTGTGCAAATCATGATTTGAGAGAAATGTCATATCTAAGCCTTTATCTATGCTATTTTAACCTTTGTTCTGAATCACTCTCTTGATGAACATACAGGTAACACTAGCTCATATCCCATTCAAATATTCAATGCAAAATGTTATTGACATTCAGTGCAGGATTTTATTTGTGTTTCATATATCTTCTATTTTTCCTTAAAGCAGAAGATCATGTAGTGATAGAGTTGTAAAAATATCCCAACTGGTAATACTTAATGACAGTCCATTTTTCTGGCTAACAGGCTTAGCATCAGTACATCAACCATGAAGATAAGTGGTATCCCAGCATTCCCATTCATTATAAATCTGTGGTGTTTCATTTTGACTCTGTCACCACAAAGCAGCTTGAAGAGCAGCTTTCATGGCTCTCTGAGAACTCCTCTGATGGGGGGCAGGGTGCTGTGGTGGCCACAACTTCAAGGAAAACAGAGATCATACAATGTTCCAGCTCAGCTTTCCTTTTCAGGAGATCAGATCGATGGTCCTAGGAATAAGCTGTGTTATGTAGGCTCCCTCCTCCTCCTCCTCCTCCCCTTCAAGCACAGCTGTGTAATATAAAATAGGAGAAAAAAATCGGCATCCAGTGAGACCATGGGATTTTTTTCGTGCTGGTTATGAGGATTGTTTGTTAGAATACCAAGGGAAACTGAGAGCACGCTCTGACTTCTCTTTTTTGCCATTTTTGGTCTTTGCCAGCTTGGCACTTGTTAGGGGAAGACTTAATTTCATCTGGGAAAGAAACAAGCTAGTTCTTGGAGACTGTGGGGTGGAAGTGTGTCAGCCTGATGGCTGTTGTTCCCAAAGCCATGCCTCAGAGGAACCATTTTTAAGATTTTTTTTATTTAGAAATCAGGGACAGAACAAGTCATTAAAATGACTAAAGAAGCAAAAAATGCCAAATTTGTATGGTCTAAACATTAAGTGGGCTGAGAACAAGGTGTCCTATATTTCTGATGACTGAAGTGAAAAGTCATCATCAAAGCACGTAACAAACTTAATTCTGAAGACACATGTTTTTTAACTGTTTAAGTGGATATAATTCAAAAAGTGACTTTCTAACTTCAGAATGCATGCTTAAACTTTATTAAGCATTACCTTTTATTCTTGAAAAAGTAACTATTTTTGAAACTCAGATGATCCTACCTGCAAATCACAGATTCAAACCCAGCCTTCAACACCCAAATGATGTCATAGAAGAAAAGATTTACCCAGTACCAGGCTTCTGTTCTTTTAGGTCCTGCAGTTTTAGCTATGTGTATTTGAAAGTCAATCGTCTATGTGCCTGCTGCATGAATGCCTGTTTTGAGCATCTCATAGATTTAATGTGGGGATTACTGCAATCTCAGCTTTAAAATTCACCTTGTTTCTGAGAAAATAGACTTGTGAATAGCAAACTTAGGGGAGCTGTATGTTGAGGGCAAATGTCCAATATGCAGATTCTGGACCAAGTGCTTTTGTTGGGCTGGCCATACCCATTTTCCACTTTTTATGAAGGAAAAATCAGTAGCAATGTGAATTTTCCCCTCAACTGTGTGGCTTGTAGGCAATTGCAGTTAGGGCAGTGGTGATCAGGAACAGACTTGTAGGAGCCAGCAGATCTCCTTGCAAGTTCTTGCAGGCTCCTCAAAATAATTCATGGCCTCATCTTTGATTTCCTTGAGTCAGTCAGTGACAGCTGCTGCCCAGAGAGGGAAGTATTAGATTCTTATTCCTGGAACTGGATGTTGCAGGGCCTGTGTTCACCTCCCTGTGGTCCAGCTCTCTCTGAATCAGATAGGCATTATAAATCTTCAAAGACTGTTGAACTCCATGTTTTGACTTTCAGTACCTAATTGTTAGTGTTTGGACAGCATTTTCAGTCCTAGAGAAATCAGTTCTGTCTGCAATTGGTTCTTCACAATCTCCTCTAAAAACACAACTTTGCTGGAGGTGTTATCTACCTCACTACTACATTCCCATAAACGGGATGTCTTTATGGGATCCAAGTTCCTTACAGGAATAGAGTCTTTTTTTTTTTTTTATGGGCTCACCTTATGCTTTAGTGATGATAATAATTTGTGAAAAATAGAAGCTTGTTGCATGAAGTCACAAACACATGAAAGAAAGTCTTCACCTTCCAGTAGGCTTTGTTGGGGAGGAGTCATCTTCAGTCTTTGGATCAGAAGAGACAGATATGAGGTCCTGGTGACTAAACACAACTTTCTTGAGCATGACAGAGGCTGACAGCTTGACTCAGCAGTGCTGACAATTCACCCACAGTGCAGTGTATTGATTTGGGTGCAGAAGTTCAAGTTAAGAAAACTTAACTTTCTGAAAGAGTGGGAGAATTGGGATTGTTCCAGGTAAGAAAAGCTGATTGGAATACCATGAGTCTTCAAATGTAATAAATTACTTTTTGAAAATAACAGGCTTTCCAGTAGTAGATAAGAGGCCAAAATAGAAGAAGTGTTTATATTTGAAATTTTCAACCTAAAGTACAGTTAAGCGCTGGAATAACTTGCTGAGGAATAGAAGAGAATTTGAAAGACGACCTTAAGGACAAGTTAGTCAAAGATATGTTGGGAATCACAGAGGTTAGATTTACCCTGCCACTGTGAACAAGTTTGAGTTAGATGGCTGCTTGAATTCTTTTTTTGCTCTACTTTTTATTAATAGCTGTTTCTCACAATGATGACCAAATTTTCTCCATTCGAAGAGAGACAGGTATCTTGTTCTCTGGGGTTCTGATTTGGAGAAGAAAGACCTCCTCAGGCTAAATCATAAAACTAAATGTTAGCCTTTTTTCCTCTGTGGCATCACTCAAAGATAGATTTAAAAGGTACCTCCAATGTTTTAGAAGATACTAAACTGAAACTCCTGTTACAGTGGACTGAAGTCTTAAATAAGCTGACCTTATTCTTGCAGCTAGTTTAGCTTCTCTGTAAATGTTCAGTTTGATATTCTACTCTGACAACCTCCTCATGAGAACTAAAGTTTTATTTTAGCCTTGTACCGTACTTGAAGTATATTTATTTGAAGTTTGAAACCAGTAACTTAATTTTCAGTATCCAGATTTCTTCAAAATACTGCTCTCTGGGTTCTTGCACCCTTCGTTCTAAAAAAGGTCATAAGTAGAATATTTTACAAGAGTTTGAATGGCCTAGCCATTATACTCATCCATAGAACCAATCAGTTGTATTTTATTTAATGTTACTCTGATGATATTCTCACTTACATTTAACTTTTGGAATAATAAAGTAGAGCAAACTCTAACTTCACTCAACTATTTATTACTACCCTCAGTACTTCTATCTTTTAGCCAAAAGATGCTGTGGAATTACTTAAAATGTAAAGTTTTGTAATTGTTTCGAGAATAACCAGTTGTTTGTTTTTTGTTTTTTTTTTAATTTCAGGAACTGCATCTGTTGCTGTTGCAGGTCTTCTTGCAGCTCTGCGCATCACCAAGAACAAATTGTCAGATCACACAGTTTTGTTCCAGGGAGCTGGAGAGGTAGGTATTTTTATACATGGGGAAAATTGTAGTATGATGACTTTTATTAATGTTTAATTGAGTTACATGTGTCTAATAAACAAGAAGATTAAGTAGGTAGAATGATTACTAACACCTGCTGAAAGTTGTTTTTTAGTTCAGAGGTAAATTAACAGAAAAATCTCAGATCATCTGGCGAAGCCGTTTATTTTTCATAAGACATTTTTTTGGAGATTAGTTCTCTTTTTAGAAATTCAAGTTTTAGGTCTTCCACTGTAAATGATTGAACTGCTCTCAATATAACCAAGCAAAAAACATTGTTTGAAAGACGAGGAAATACAGTGGAGAAAGTAAATATAATGTATTTACTTGAGTCAGCATTTTTTAGTAAGAACTGCCCTTTTGATTTTTTTGTCATTGAATATTGTTTTTCAGTACTCTGCATATTAAAGTCATCCGTTTCTGAAGATCTTTATGCACATTATTTTTTTATACTAATTTTTCAGTATTAATTTCTAAGCTGCTGACATACAAGTGCAGGCTGAACTTATCTACAGTGTGGCTTGTCATCTCTAGTTTGAGGCCTACAACCCCATGCTGGCTTCTTTAATTTCATTAAATATTTGGTGCTATGTCTGCAGTTTTCAAAATGGCTTGCATCCATATCTGCCATGTCACCACCTTACTGCATCAAGACTATCCATCTCTCTGGAGTTCCTTCCCCTGGTTTTGTTCCATGTTCCACAAGCAGATGAGTTTATGTTCTAATGGGGTTTTTTTTGGTCAATATTTAGTGTGGCTGTTCCTGCAAAGAGGTAATTGAAGCTATCACCCCTGCTGCAGGTGGTTTTTTTTGGTAAAACTACTTATTTCTTAACAAAAAAAATGGGCAATCTCACTTGGTTCTCTGTGAAACTCAGTCATAAAGAACAAGAAACAGAACCAATCCCAAAAAATACATATACAGGTCTATAATCAGAAATATTGAGCAGTCTTGTTTTGCTTGTTTTGTTGCCTGGTTTTCAATCTGTACCTGTATGACATTTAATCTGTTAGATGAAATAAAAAATCCAGTAAGAATGAAGCACGTTTCAGCAAAAGATTGATATGTGAGTTTTTCTTCCCCCTGCTTTGACTGGGAGCACAGCCAAGTCTAGAGTTACAAAACACATGAATGGTAGGTAAAAGGAGGCTTACCTTCCTGATGGACATCTTAGAAAAAGATAAGAGCAAAAGCTCTTGTGTTTTACTTTCTGGTATGCAGACTGTTATTTCCTTTAGTTTAAATTACAAAAATTTCAAAGAAGAAAAAATATTTTATGTATTTGAGATGAATATCATAGAATGATAGAATGTTTGGATTGGAAGGGATCTTAAAGATCATCTAGCTCAACTCCTGCTGTCATAGGCAGGGAGCCTTCCACTAGACCAGGTTCCTGAGAGCCCCATCCAACCTGGCCTTGAACACTTCCAGGGCTGGAAGTGTCATTGTGTGGAATAAATGTTAGTTGTAGCATTTTCTAGTTTCCAGCTTCAACATTTATTGTGCTCATCACACTCTAAGAGCCAACTGAAGATTTGTCTATACCATGATTTATCTATATGATTTAAGATTTATCTTCTGCATTATGTTTTCCAATTACCAAATGGTAACAACAGTTCATTTGGTTTATTTTATGAAAAAATAATGATTCAGTTTTATTGTTTATTAAAATTAGAAAAGTTATCTAAAATAGTGGGTAAATGAAACATGTGAGCAGGGGATTTCTTTCATTTCTTGTTTTGTACTCTACTTTTTTTCTTTTTCCTTCAGGCTGCATTGGGGATAGCAAACCTCATTCTTATGGCTATGGAAAAAGAAGGGCTATCCAAAGATGCAGCTATCAAAAGAATATGGTTGGTTGACTCAAAGGGATTAGTCGTAAAGGTAATACAATTTTGTCATTACTTTAAATATCACTACACTACTTGCATTCTGTAGATAAAGACAAGAACATATTCTTTGTGAAAGTAACTACAACAATATCTCTCTTGGCATAGCGAGTTGTTTTTCTTTTCTGAAGTTTATTAAATTAATGACAGACTGCCATGTTACTTGGCAGGGGGGATGATTATGCTTGGAGTTCCTTTTCTATTTCTATTAGGGATGAACACATAAAGAAAAAAAAATTAGCAGTGTATTAAAAAACATGTAAGAAAGGAAATTTTCAACTTTGGGGTTTAATATTTCCCATCTAAATGTGATTATTATTGTTAGCACAGTCTTGGACAAAGATATATAGATATATTACTAGGATGGCAGGCAATTCATCGTTCTGCAAGAACTGAGATGCATTGCAACAAAAAGCTTCTCTGCACAGTGACACAGCTCATGTCGCAGATGTTGTGGTCTGCAGTGCTATCAACACTGGTCAGAATTTGAAGCTGCTGAGAGACTTCATCAGTCACCCTTACCTCATTCTTTCCATGTGCCAAAATAAAGAAACATATTAATTCCATGTGCCAGAATAAAGAAACTGGTATGTTTTAAAAGTTAGTTACGTATTTAATAGTTTGTGAGCTACTTAAAGGAAATGGATGAGAAGCCAGTTGCCTTTGCTTTTTTACCTTGCTGGTCAGTTTGCAGTATTTGTGGTCATCATTTTTAGTACCACACTTCACAGTGTTCTTTGGATATCTGACATTAAAAGTCTTTTGTGCTTCACACAACTGTGCATCAGGAGGATGCATTCTGCAGGCAGTGTCTGCTGGCTTATTGAACAGCAACACAGCACCTTTCACTCATACTGTTAAAGGGAAAATAGTATAATCATAGACATTGAGATGAGCAAATATTACCAAGGTCATCTTGGTCATCTCTTGCCAGAAGACATAAAAGTAAGCCTGAGCAGGCACAGAAGAATGCAGGTATCTAGGACACAGATCGATTTTTTCTCTGGTGCTTTTTTTGTTTGTTTAATGAGTATTTTTTATCCTTTTGGTTTTCATATAATAATTTTGAAGTGATTTTATGTCCAAACAAATGACTGAAGGCCTGTGTATTGTCTGTGGCTGCAGAAACCTTGAGGCTGCCTAAAAGGAGTCAGGTTGCATCATTTCTTTCACCACAGAATCTGGGCATATGAAATTATACAATTGAACTAAAATCACCTCCTGGTGATCAGGGAAACAAACTAACAGGGGCAGAAGTGTAGGAACTTCACAGCCATGAGGCAGTAAAAGAGGTCTCTGCTGCATGTCCGTCCAGCCGAGGTGGCTAACCAGCCTTTCTTCTCGCTCCCCGGTTTCTTGTCCCAGTCTCTTCACACCTCTCACTGCTAATTTGCCAGTCAGCTGAGAATCTGGGTTGTTGCTCTTGGTACACAGAGACTCATTCCTTTCATAGGTTCTAAATTTTTAGTGACTCGGTGACTGCATTCTTTCCTCACCACCTTCGAGCTTCTGCACTCTCAAGCAATGCCAAAACCAATCAGTGTCTCACACAGCCTCATGTTCCTTTCCTCTGCTTATTCTTCTTGGTGGAGCTTTAATTTGGATTTTGTCCAGAAAGCAGTCCACTGAATTTCATGTCCTGCCTGGAGTGTATTTGTGAACTGTTTGTGATTGCCAGACATAACAGCTGTCTGAGGTAGATTAGGGCTGAATTTGTGGCCAGATGTTGATGCAAGCAGCAGGAACCGACGGTGCATATTTCACGTCATTGCTTGTGTTCCTGGAAGACCTGGCAGCACCAGTTTTCCCATCTGGCTGTCCTGAGGGGCTTGAGAATGAGTGGGTGCTTGCTGCTGTGTTGTGTTTGAGGGGCATCTGTCAGTGCAAGTCCTGGGCTGGACATAGAGAAACATGTCCTTGGTCAAGGGCTCTGCAAGTCCTTTCTTGGTTTTCTTCCGCAGCAAAATGTTTCCCCCTGAATACCCTCTCTCCAAAGAAAGAAAATACAATGTAAGCCTCAAGAAGCTTGAGATTTAATTGCTGGGAAGTTATATATATAGTGAGTAAATAATTAAATTATTCCTGATTCCTTTTTCTGGCCTGATAGGGTATGCTGTGATTTAGGTTCACTTAGGAAATTATTTTTGGCTTTAGCTGATTGCAGAAAAATGCTGCAAGGCTTGAATAACTTTCCAAACTCTAAGAAATAAGATAAGAGAACTAAAATGAGGAAGACTTATGAGAATAAGATAAAATCAGAAAAACTCTAATATTACAAATCCTTTCATTATTACAAAAGTAAGAATTACCAAAATCAGAGCATAGATACGAGTTAATCAAATTTTGCATAAACTAAACTTGACACTTATTTCTTACTAAGAACATGTATCAGTGGAAACCTGATCAATTAGAGTCCCTTAAAATTTGCCTCAGCAAAACCTGCTTGATCAAAAGAATTTTATGTGCAGGAGGGAGACCTTTTCAGTACTAGAAACATTCTGATCAGTTGCTTTAGCCGTATGAAAAATAACAGAATTTCTGAAGACTCAGCAGTTACTTTGTCCAACTAAACTAATTTCTACATCATTTATATTCTATGCTGGCCTTTGATCATTAATTTTGCAATGTGTGATTATAGAGTTAAACATTGTTTCTCCTTTCATCTACTTTTTGTAAAATTTCAATCGGTTCTATCCAAAGAAAAACAACCTGGGAACTGTCGTTGACCTGGTTGCAGTTTCCACCTTTTTCTTCTCCCACCCTCAAAGTTGCCACGAAGTCACTTATCAGGCTTTTGTTGCTGAATTTTTCCTTTGTGGCTTTTTAATTTTAGTTCAAGTGCAGCTGTGTTTTCATTCTCCTGTAAATTTTATTTTCCCCCCATGGGAACCATCTGTTTTCATTAAACCAAGCCTGATGACCAACTTTTCTGCTATGTTGTGGTAAAAGAGCTGGTGATGGAGGCTGTGTTTGTTATACTGTCCGTAGTTGTGTTCTATAATTCCTTCTAGAGAATTTACAGTGTTGTAGATACTGATTTGGGGTTGTTGCTTGGTCTTTTAAAGTTTATTCAGAATGCTTTCACCTTTTGAAACTGTTTTCCAAAGATGGGTAAGGAAGTTTTGCACATCATAATATCATTAGAATGTTGCCACTTAAAGTGTGCGACTTTGAATCTTACTGTCTTAAGTATTTCAGTGCATTCAAATGGAAATTTTCATGCTTAGTTAAGAGACACTTTAAAGTTGGTTTTGCACTCTTGTGTACTTGAAGATTATACATAATCAGTAGGGACTGATTTAGTTCTGAATTTCTGAATTATCACACAATCACAGTCTGTCTCATGAATATATACTTACCTATATAAACACATTAGTGGGTAATCTCTCCCACATTCCATGCCCCTATTCTCAATTCCCATATATTTTTCTGTTAATCCCACTGATTACATAAATGTGTGATGTGTGGTGAACACGTTTTGTGTCTTCTTTAAGCTGCCATAGTGTCATGTTTAGCTGTATTAGTAGCCAAGTCCATGGGCTTGAACTTGAAAGACAGTAAATTCTTTTGTGTCAGCTAATTGAGAAGAGGCAGAATGTGAGAATGTTGGGATATTCATAAGGTTCACCACTGTCTGAGCATTTCAGTAATGTGCTACAGAGGCTTTTACTGCTTTTTGTTTTGTTTTCTCAGGCAATACCAAGAGCAGGGTAGGGTAGGGTAGGTAAGGCAAGAGGGTTCTTGGAACTTCCTAGGAATATGGTACAGTTAATAAGGCATTTTTAATATTTAAATGCACATAATAGAAACTTCCCTCCAGCTTCTGCCAAGGATGGCTGCTCCTGTGCTGAGGATGGACAGGGATGTTCCTGGGCCACTAAACAGGCATCTTTTGCAGTGAAGTTTTTCTGTAATTTGAAAGGCAGCCTTAAATTTTGGTACACCACATAATCTCTATTGCACAAAAGTTGTTCCTTTGCAGAGGGATGAATGTCATCCTTAATTTTAAAGACTAAGTCAACATGGAGAAATGTTTCTTTTGACAGTTTTTCACTCTATTCTTTCTAGTTCAGTACAGTGATACTTGTGTCTAGTTGAGTAATTTGTATTTTAAATACCCATTATATATGTAATCTTAAACCCTGTATGACAAGCACAAGAATATCCCCTGAGGTCTGGTGGCTGCAGGCCTCAGAATATTGATCTTTTAGTATCAGAGGAAGACTGAAATAGATCCCAAAAAAATTAACAATTTAATTATAATGGATTATTAACGATTAATTATAATGGAGGTAACCAAGTAAACCTGTAGATAATCACATAAAAGGATTTCATTTTTCATCCTCTTTCCCCCATTTCATTATCCCTGGCAATCTTATTTGCAAAAGATTCTCACAACCAATTAATTGGCATTGGACCTGATTAAAGTTCGTGGTTTGGTCAAAGCTGAGTACATGCATGGTTCAGTCTTTGCTTAGAGAATGATAGAAGAGAAAGGGATACATTTGTGAATGATAGCAGAGTTTCAGTGCCAGACTCATATAATGAGTGAAAGAATTTTTAGAGCTGACAATGAAATACCATAATATTGAACTGAATCCCATCCAGACTGTCTGTTACTGATTTAAAAAAAAATATCAGTAATTACTCTTTTAAAAGGTTTCAGTTTCATACTAGATATGAATTTGATAATGGTTTTAACTTTTATATGCCACTGTCTGCCAGTCTGCTAGCTTTTAATTATTTCTAGCTTTCTTTTTATCAACAGTCAATTATTCTGACACTTCTGTTCTTGATCAGTTCTTTTATGGCTGACTGCAACTGGCTGGGACTTTTGTAGCCAAAAAAATGATTTACATATTTGCAAAGATGAAATGCCTTTGGTATCTCCAAGGTGCCAAAATCAATCAAGCAGTTTCTGCTTTGTTTTACTCATGTAACATCCCAGCAAAGCAATCCTTGTTTGCTTCAGTTTTTCTGATGTCTGGGGAATTA